AAATGTGTTGTGAGCAGCAAATTTTTTTAGATATAGATACCTAACTTTTTAAAAGGTTTTCAATACATATGAGCATATCTTCTTTTCAGTGTGCAGAAACTTGCCATATTAAAGACTAAGCAAGTGTATTTGGAGTAAAACACTTTCACGTGTGTAAATATTTGTGACAGTTTTAGTGACTGTGCTATATTTGGAATAAAGCCAGAGGCCACATATTTTATCCTGTTACTGTGATGTCAGCAACTTTTCAGCACTCAAACCTTTCAGACGTTGAAAACAATTTCAATGTGTGCTTTTTTAATTTGAGAAAGAAACTGCAGAATCTTAATTTAGAGAAAAAAACATTATTATATACTGAGGATATTAGCAAATAAACCTTTGTATGTATTATCATATTATTCTTATTTAATTAAAAGCAGCAGTGAGAAAATTCAAAACTGAAAAGAAGGCAAGCTGTCCCCAAACTATTGACAGGCAGTGTATATAGAAAGGCTCTAGTGTGGCAAAGAGACACGCTTCAGTGTGCTTTATGGCTGCTGCTATATTAACACCACTGTAACCAGGTCAACTTGGTGTGTGTGTGTGTGTGTGTGTGTGTGTGCGCGCATTCTCTGGACAAAAATGTCCTGACCAAAAAATCCATATTTCAATTGAAAGAGTAAAACTATTTCTCTTTAATTATTGATGTTAGCTTTAAGGTGAGGTTTACAGTTAAATCTAAAAAAAATCTTATTACTGCTGTTGGAACAAAACCTCAAATCTCCATTTTTGTCTTTTTTTGTTGTCTTCCACTATGAAATGGAACAACCCTCAAATAAAAAGAACATTACTTCATTAACAGGCTACTAGCGCTGCTCTGTAGGCGACCCTGCCAGTCTGCAGTGATAGCAGAGGAGGGTAAAGTTTAGCAACCTCACTGAGAGGAGAGGAAAATGTGATAATTATTTATTATTGCCCACCCCTAATTCTTCAGTGATATGAAGCTGAAGTCAACTATTCGCCAGTTTCTTGTTCAAATTTTCTATTCCACCTTAAATGGAGCAGCAGTTACATTCTGGTGCTTCAGGCATCAGTACTCCTGGACCATTTAAGGTGGAACAGGAAATTTAGCTAGCTACCTACTGAGACATCAGTATACTGCTAGCATTTTTTATGCTTGAAGGAAAGAAGAATAGGACCATAATACATTAAACCAACATTAAACTAAAATAATACAATGGTTATAGCAATTTTTTAACAGAGAAACATTTGTGGGTTTCTTTGGTCACTTGCGCAGCCATTTTGCTAGTTTTTCTGTTTTTCCTCTCATTTCATTGCTTCTGAAAAACCTCTGTTTGGAGGGTCATCCAGCCCTAACACTTCATTCTACCCCTCTATCTCAACATAAATCAGGACACCCTACCCTTATTCATGAACACCCAAAACAGAGGGGTAGAGCTAAGTGGTAGCGGCAAGGGGTGAAATGGGATTGGGCCAAACTTTCAGTTTTTCAAAGAAATCTACAGGGTTTTTTTTACATATCCAAAGTTCAGTCTTAGAGGTTGGTTACACTTTATGCTTCTCACAATCCAATTAATCCCAAACACATCCAGTGATGTTGAACACCAGGCTCTGGGCTCTTGTGGAAAGATGGACAGAAACACCTGTGGGCTTATCTCTCAAGGATGAAAGGTTTAAGTGCTGTTTATCTGATGATGAGAGTTTTGATGGTCTAGCAAGTGTTACACGGTTGTTAAGAGTCCCATTCTCTCTATAATTGTATGGACTTTCCTCTTCCTTATGCGAATGGATTATATTTAATCTAATTCTACCTAAAGACCATTTTTACAGGAGGTGAAATAAATGAATGAATGGGGAATGCATGTTCTCTCTTTTTTATTGTTTATTTACTTCTGTAAATGTTAACTTCAACCCTGCTATGATACTGAGCTAACCAGACATTCTACTTCCTCATAACCGCCCACACACACACTCGTCTGCACAAACACTTGTGAACAGACAGACACCATGCTGCGGTAGCCGAGGTAATTGTGCCTTTTATTTGACTGTCAATCATCTGTCTATCATATAGCAAGCAGGATGTTACTGTACATATTGCCATGTTGTTTTTGCATTAGGCTAATATTTATCAAACACTGCATCGTGGGAAAAGTGTGTGAATCCACGTGGACGTGTTTTGAATAAATGTACTAGTGCTATTCATCATCACATGTGAATGTGAGTTTTATTTTACCTAGCATAGTGTTGGTGATATATTCAGAGTGTTTGTCTTTGTCCAGTTTAATTCATTAAAATCTGACCCCATGATAGTTGGTGAGCGTGTTTGTCCACGTTGATCAGAGTAAAGTGGATCAACTTTGTGTGCTACATTGTAAAAAATGAGAAGTCTGCTCAAGTTAAAATGATACAGTAACTGATTACAAGGCTTTTCTTGAGTTGACTCAACTTGAGGACACCAGAGTTCACCCAAGTAAAACTTCTTAGTTGAGTCAAAAATTCTCCCAGCTACTGTTTCTAGCTCTGCGTCTCTAGCTGGCACTCCTTCCTTCACACAGTCCCATCTGGCATGTTTTCCTCTTGAGCTTCCAGATATGGACAGCTATGGAATTGCTGGGATTCAAACTCACAACCTCCTGATATTGAGATGAACTATTAGACAGCTGCACCACATGAGACTGTGCCATGCTTTAAAGCTAAAACAAATATTTTCTCCAGTGTATTAAACATTTGTAGACACAAAATCTAGGTTGCTTTATGTATTGCTGAGTGGTGCAGTGAGGCTCAGCGATGCCATAGCCCTCCATAAGTGCTTACCGAAGACAAAAAATGTCTAGTAGGATTGTGTGATGGAAAGAGTGTTGGCTAGTGGGGAAGAGGAGTATAAAAAGGTTTGTTTTATTTACCTAACTGAGATGCAGAACTAAAAAATTAAGAGAACTTTTGACTCAACTAAGAAAGTTTGAGTCGTGTGAACTCTGGTGTCCTCAAGTTGAGTCAACTCAAGAAAAGCCGTGTAATCAGTTACTATATCATTTTGAGTTAAGCTGTCCTCTCATTTTTAGCAATATACTGTGTTTTCTGTCACTGTGTGAAAGACACTCCATGCTGCCCTTATTGTAGGATGGCCTGTGATAATGTCTGAGCAAGCGTGCACACACATTTAGATTTCAGCATACTTTGGAAATGCTTTTTCTTAAAGGGTTTTCCAGCCACATCTTTTTTGCGAATTTGAGAGTAAAAAACTAGATGGAAAAGCCAGAATTTAAAAAAAAATGGCTAAAATTGCAAAAGAAGTTTGTACACTTGGATGAGGTAGAACAGTTAAAGATAAAGGAGAAATGTGAAAAATGGTGATGGAAACCTGTTTTATATCCTCTCAGAACTGTTTGCTCTGGTGGCGTTTGCAGGGATTCAGTAGGCGACTCCTGAGCGGGACTGTGACTTCCGCCCTTATTAAATGGGCTACTGCCAGCTCTGCCTGGTGTTTCTGAACTATTCGGGCTGCAGCCCTGTCCAGCTGTCAGAGGGCTGTCAGAACTGCTCTACTGAGAGCTAATAAAGTTTGAATCCCTCCCCACACAGTCAGCGTGTGATGTCATCTTCAGAAACAGAACAGTAGTTGATGAAAGCCCTGATTAATTTGCGTTTTTTGAAATTGTGTGAAATGGTGAAATGTTGGAAACTCTGCTGCTGATTGGTCTGATTGTCAAAAAGATATTTAGAGTTGTTTAGAGTTGATTTGTACTGCCTAATGGAGCAGAAATGGTGCTGTCAGCTTTCAGTCTATTGTTATTTCAGTCTACAGTTGATTGTTCAGGCTGATTTGATGTGTTTCTCTGTGTTACTAGAGTAGAGTAAAGAACACAGTCTGAGTCAGTTCTGTTATTGTGTTAATGCACATCAGGAAACTACTGTTGGCCTGTTACTGTGAAGTGAAAGAGGATAAACAGATAGAGAGAGGGAGAGAGCAAGGAAGAAAAAAGAGAAAGAATTAGACACAGACCAATAAGAGAATGAGAGAGAGAAAGAAAGAAAGAAAGAAAGAAAGAAAGAAAGAAAGAAAGAATAGAGAAAGAGAGAGAACTAGAGACAGACGAATAAAAGAATGAGAGAGAGACAGAAAGAAAGGAGAACTAGAGGCAGACAAATAAGAAAATGAGAGAGAGAAAAATAAAGAAAAAGAAAGAGAGAGAACTAGGGGCAGATGAATAAGAGAATGAGATTAAGAAAGAAAGAAAAGAATTAGAGGCAGACAAATAATAGAATGAGAGAGAGAGAAAGAAAAAAGAAAAGAGTCAGAGAGATGTAGAGACAGACAAAGAAGAGAATAAGAAAGAGAAATGAGAGAGAACAACAGACAGATGAATAAGAGAAATAAGAGAGAGAAAAGAGAGAAACAAAGAAAGAATGAAAGAAAAGTAAAGTGAAAGAGAACTAGACAGACGAAGAGAGTGAGAGAAAAAAAGAAAAGAGAACAAAAGATAGGCGAATAAGAGAATGAGAGTGAGAAAGAAAGAAAGAAAAAAGAAAAAGAAAGAAAGAGTGAAACGAAGTTAACAAAAGAGAGATCTAAACCAATGTGTGACAGACTTGGTACAAGTGGTTCTGATTCTGGAGAGAGAGAGAGAGAGAGAGAGAGAGAGAATCAGGTTTAAACAGAATAACAGTAGAAGGTGATGTGTAGATGTGCACTGAAACACTTGCTGTTGTTAATTTTACTAATTTTTGGCAAGAATTGTGTTGATGTATTTTATTCATCTGGAACTGATGAACAAATTTCAACAAAGCAAACTCAGAGCAGCACTTTTCTGTCTGTGTTCCTGTCCATGTTGGCTTGTTGAAATGGTTGAATGTGAAACACATAAAACAAAAATCTACAACTTTTAATCTTTGTTAGATGTTTTTCACACGTCACAGGCCATAATATTGAGAAATCATGTTACTGGATTAAAAAGAAGAAATAGTCATTAAAGCGCTGCTGTGTGTGTGTTTGTCCACAGATATCTGGATTAAAGGTAAAGAGAGTGGAAGTGTTCGACTGATGGAGAACACACAGGAGCTGAACGAGCCGGCGGTAAGAGAAGCACTAGCACACCTGTGAGCCTGCGGTCTGTTTTATTTACAACATGTGTCCAGACGTTTGTAGACACCTGCTCACCCAATGTTTCTTCTGAAATCAAGGGTATTAATAGGGAGTTTGTCCTCCTTTGCTAACAGCTTAGTAACAGCTTCTGCTCTTCTGGGAAGGCTTTACACGAGATGTTAAAACATTGCTGTGAGGATTTGATTGCATTCAGACACAAGAGCAATAGTGAGGTCAGGTACTGATGATGGATGGTCAGTTCTGGATCACTTCAACTCATCCCAAAGGTGTTGGATGGAGCTCCATCACTCCAATGCAGCTCCACTGCTCCACAGTCCAATACTGGGGGCCTTTATACACTACAAGAAACACTGCACTATATTTTGAAATCATTAAATCTTGTCAACATATCTAATGTTTCTTATTTTGATTGCTTGATTGTTATAAGAGTGTTATAAGATTGTTTAACTTATTTCCAGACATTCTTTACCTGTTTAAGCTATTTTATCTAATGACACTGTCTAATTCTAATGGCAGATAATTTGGTATCAGGTTGTTATTTCTTGGTGTTATTTATTGAAACAAACAAAATAAGCAAAATTAGTTGCATTCTGTCTTGAAACAAGTAAAATGATCTGCCAATAAAATTAGACAGTTTATCTAGATAAAATGACTTTGAACAAGTAAAAAACATGTGGAAATAAATTTTATAATAGCAAAATATTTTTAGCCCAATCTTACAATGAGAAATATTAGATATATTGAATAAATATAACCCCTTAATAAGCCAGTTTTATTACACACATCTATAACCTGAGAATACCTCCATTAGTTTGCATTAAAGTCCCTGTAGTTACTGAATTATAAGCCTTTACATGAAATAAACCTGAAATGTTAAGGGGTTAAGATGTTTTCACTTAGAAACCCTTTTTTTGCACTGTACCCCTCTGGCTGATGTGGAGCATTGGGCTGCAGTAGGTGCACTTTAAAGTAGATAAATTCACTCATTAAAGGGAATGTCTGGATACTTTTTGAAATTTGGTGCATTTTTCTGTATTATTACTGTTAAATGAGAACCTCATATCTGCTCTGAAGCTGTTTTTCCAGAGAGCAAAGATGTCAGAGTTTTCCACTGTTTCACTCTGATTGTCAAAATCCCTCAAAGCATTTAGAGTTGATTTGTGCTTCTGTATGGAGTGTAGTGAGTCAGCTTTCAGTCTGTGTCTGCTGATTTGATCCACCTGTTTGGCCTGTGCCATGATTTGGTCTTTGCTATGGAGTTTAGAGTAAAGAAGGCACACAGTCTGAGTCTTCAGCTGTTATTGTATTATTGTACATCATTAACTGTCTAGAAAATAATTCTATTATGATGCTACTACTCTACACCTTTAGTGGGAAGCTATAAAAAATGAGAAAATGTTAGAAGTAAATAAAACTATATTTGATAGCTGTAAATGGATAATTTCAGTGTGTTATTTATAATTTAATAAGTTCATGTTCCCAAGAATCTGGTCAAAATAAGCAATAAAACTTAAAATCTTAAAAACAATTATCTAGTGCAATACAATAATAGCAACTATTAATATGAAAAATGATGTCAAACGTTTGAGCGGTGGTGTATGTTAACCACTATGACAGTAATCAGTAAGCTGTGTATTTATAAGAGTAAGGAATTGAACTGTGGAGCCACATACAGATGCTTAGATTTCACAGAGTTAATAAAAAAAACTGGTACTCCAATGTGTGTGTGTGTGTGTGTGTGTGTGTGTGTGTGTGTAAGCGTGTTGGAGAGAGGGAGAGAGTGTGTGTGCTGTAGTTTTGGTGAAGCTAAGCTGAAGCTGTAAGATGGGGCAGGGTAACAGGTGTAAAGTTTCCTTGTGTTTCAAGTTATTTACATTTTTTGCTATTAATAGTTCAGATTTTCAGTGGCAGTGATTAATGACGTGGGATTGTGATTGCTGACAGCCTTTGGCTTTGTTTTCTGGATTTTTTTTTTTTTTGGGTGGCGCTTCACCCTGAATCCGTCACACAGTGAATTTGATATTAGAGCGAGAGTGTGTGTGGTGTGTGAGGGTTTTGCTGATTTGGCTCAGCAGGATGTACTTGTGCTGGAATAGAAAGATCAGGGTGAAGCACGGAGAGGTTCAGAGAATGACCAGAGTGGACGTAGAGCTGTCTGTGGGCTTACAGGGACAGTAAGTCAGTGTAAAGAGGTTTTATTCCAAGTGATTTTAGAGCATTTCTATTGGTCTATTCATCATGAAATTTACATATAACATAAAGCACAGCTGGTGTGTCGAAATGATGTAGAAACTTACAAAATTGAAACAAGATGCATGGTTTTCTTTGGACAGCGACGATATTTTATTCATGTGGAAATGACATGCACATCTGAATCGAGTAAATTAAGTGCCCTTCACTGTGGTCAGTGATGAATGAAGCTGAAGTAGATGGATGTAGACTGTAGTTTGTTCTTGACGTTTTTCCTTTTGACCCTTCCATCCCATCTAAATTCCATCCAATCATTTTAACAAATACAAAATCTTATTTGTGAGACACAAAGAGAGAACCAAAAATTATGTTTATATATATATTTATATATATGTACAGTTTTTGTTCCGACAACAGCGAGATATATGTATATATAAATATATTTATTTACAGGAGAAGGAAAAAACAATGCAAGTCAGTGGAACCAGACATTTTATCAAGTAATTCTGGGCCATTTCTTTTAGGCCATTGATCTTCAAATTTACACACAATGTAAAGAACAATAGGCATTTTCAAATTATGTCAAAAACTGAAAAGTGACAAAAATGGAGATACAAGATTTTGGTCCGACAACAGCGAGATATATACATTTATACATATATATATATATATATATATATATACACACACACACACACACACACACACACACACACATATATATATATATATATATATATATATTAAATATATATATATATATATAATATATATACATATATATATATATATATATATATATATACTTTTCCTGAAAATGTTAATGGATAGTTGTGTTATATTTGACTAACTTGGCAGGTGCAAAAATTTGGTCACCCTTCCAGTTGTAAAGTTTCCACTGTCCATTAAGAAATGGCAGTCAAGGCATCAAGAAGACTCTCAGATTGAACTGCTCATATACTGACCAGAAAGGCAAAGTAAAACCATGTGTCAGCAGAGGACCTGCAGCAAGGTTTAGCTGACACGGGAGTGGTGGTGTTCTGCTCTAATGTGCAGAGTTGTTGCACAAACATAATCTGCATGGAAGAGTCATCGAAAGAACATCTTCTCAGCAACCTCCTCACAAACGTCAGAGTCTGAAGTGTGCAAAACAACTAGGTACACAGGAAGTGTTTAGGAAATAAGTGCTGTGGAAACGAAGGAACTCTTTAGCCACAATCACTAAAGGCATGTTTGGAGAAAAGAAAAACAGCATTTGATAAAAAGAACACCTTGCCAACTGTTTAATGTGGGGTGGACTTATTATACATAGGTGTTGTGTGACAGCTAGTGGCACAGGAAACATTGTAATGGTAGCTGGGAGAATGAATTCCACTAAATATCAGCAAATTCCAGAAGCAAATGTGCCACAGTTAGTCAAGAAACTAAAACTAAAAAACAGTCAGGCTTTTACAACAGGATAGTGATATAAAGCCTACCTCAAAATCCAATATAGTCTATTTTAAGAAACTCAAGCTAAAGATTTTGGCATGGCCCTCTCAGTCCCCTGACTTGAACATCATTTAAAATTACTGAATTATTTTGTTGTGCATGCAAAATGGCCCAAGAATATCACAAAACTCAAAGCATCATAAAGGGAAGAGAGGGTGATAATTCCTAAAAAAAAAAGCTGGCTGCGAAAAAGCATGTGCAAGCTGTGATATCAGCCAGAAAAGGTGTTACTAAGCACTGACTTAGGGTGTCCAAACATTTATACATGCCACAATTAGTATTTTTTGTAAAGTACCTTTTTTTTCCTCAAATTCCTCAAATATAAAGTAACTGAGTATTAAGATTAGACATCTTATGACTGTACATACACAATACATAAAACTAAATTATTTGTGATAATACTTAGATGAGGCTTCACCTAACCCCCATGTGTCAAACACAAGGCCCATGGGCCAAGTCAGGCCCGTGACACAGTCCTATTTGGCCCATAATATGATTTTAATTTTCTATTATTATTAGCCTGTTTCATCCTGAGATGCACTACAGTCCCAAGCATGCCCTGCAACACAGTGTGTGTTCTGACCCATTTCCCCCAACAACAATCTATGGGCCAGCTGTTACACAAAAAGGAAAGATGCCTGGTGTCTAGTTCAAGCAAATAGGCAGTTTAAAAAAACCTAAAACATTTATTTTTTTTTAGAATTATTTTTGAATACGTATTCAGTGCCTGATGGTCATTTGGGTCATGGCAAAATGTTACGTAAAACGTAAACGTAAAAATTAAATAAAAACACAGTTGTCTTACAGATTTGCTGAGATTTTTTTAATATGGCCCTTTTAGTGGTGGAGTTTGACACCCCTGAGCTAAATTGTGATGGATTCCATTGTTCTTTCTTGAAAACACTCAATGATATTCCTAAAATATTCGAAATACTCTACAACGGCGTTTCTCAACCTGTGGGCCGCGGACCACCAGTGGGCCGTAAAGCACTCTCTAGTGGTCTGCAGGCCTTAATTAGACAGTGGTTTGTAGCGGGCCGGTAGAGACATATAAACAAAAACACAGCAGTTGCAGGCTAATTAGACATCATCAGTTTGAGACAATGCAGCCGTGCAGTTAGCCAGACTTGGGGAGGTTCCTTGCGGTGTTTCTCCTACCTTGTTCAGTGCGGACCTATCAAACTTTTTTTTTAGTTTGCTCCCTTTTGACGTGTGTGAACCTGTATTTGGGTCTGAAACTAACAGCTGAAACCCGCGGGATCTCGGTCTGCTTCCAACCAAACCCAAGG